GTCTGTCGCAGAGCTGAACGCAGGTCAGTTTGTGCACATCCCTTTTTGGTGAACAACAGTCATCTATTATAATTCTAGTAGTGTTTTACAGTATCTGCGTTCCTATTACAGCGTCGCTCCAATTGTGCGCTCTGGGGAGGCTGATCCAGATATTGCCAGGTTTTTAAACAGGTAAGTGCACTCTAGTTGACAAGAAAATGCTATTATCATTATGCCATCTTTCAACATAACTGATTAATGCCTCAATATTTTCCCACACAGATTAAGCGACTACCTTTTCACTGTGGCCAGATATGCCGCCCTAAAAGAAAACAACAAGGAGATAATCTACAAAAGACCTGAATAATACTTGATTATAATAAAACACTTCATACATATTTGGGCTGTACAGTCATGTGCATATTTTATATTAATTATACATGAGATCAAAACATCTGTTCGGGTGAATCTTCTTTATAGAAAGCTTTCAGTGAGAATGCACAGCTTTGCAAAACTAACATCCACTTGCATCATTCAAGTATTGAAATGTATCCTCTCTGTCAGTCATCAGTCAAGGCAATCATTGACAGCTATGGCAACTTCGTCTCAATCAATTTACCCTCCTTTCTCATTGTATTTCAGCCGTCATTTTGTCATATTGGCACAATTACACATTGAGTTCTGAATTGAAAGTTAGGTTCCAGTTAGACCCTTCCGCACAAATCACAGGATGTGACACCAGCCCTGGCTTTTCCAGGAGAGGCTACTGCCCCACGTTATGAGCGATAAATTGCGGTCATCGTAAGGTGGGTAGCGCAGGGAGGTGACACATTCCAAGTGCGTGCTTCTTAGCAGACATGACTTCCTATGAGAGAATGTATCAAAGCTGTAGCGTCCATGGTAGGCACCAATTCCACTGGCACCTGTCCCCAAAAACAAATCACATTTGATATATTGCCAGGTTAATTTTCTAACACATCCAAACTCACCAACTCCACCGAAAGGCAGCGTCACGATCAGACTCTGCAGGGTGCTGTCGTTGGAACAAAAGCTTCCACTTGATGTTTCACTCATGACTCTTGAAATCACCTGCATTGTCACAAACAACACATGAAAAGGAGAATCGTATGGCCAGTTCAGAATGTACAGAGTAACCTCAAGTTGAATGTCATTGAACTTGCACAAGTGAATGCCTCAAATGTCACAAAAAAAAGTAAACTATCAGTTTAGAGCAATAAAATAGTGTTTCTCAAATGAGAGGACTAGTGCTAAGGGATATTCTTTTTAAGAAAACTGTCAGAAAAATAACTCAGTCACAAATTCAAAATACAAAAAAAAAAAA